ACACGCCAACCCAGCAAATCGAGCCAACGTGAGCGCGGACAAGATTGGGGTTTTAAGGGAAAAAACGCACACAGAAATGTGACTCAAATTATGCTACAGTGGCACCCTATCAACCATCATTTTCCCTCAAACCACACCCTGCCAGAATGAACAAGCTCTACAGCTTCCGCATTCCTTTGTGGCCACTTCCGGCTGATCGTTTTGCACTGACTGAAACGCAGCTCCCATGGCTGAAAACTCCGGCGTGGACAAGGGGTCCATTGTCTCACGTAAACAAGTGGCAAAATCGTTCGCCAGCTTCTTGTAGGCCTGACTTTGGTGGGATGCAGTTCGCTGTTGGCATCAGTCACAAACATTCGCCCAAAATCAACTGACATTTGACTAGGCCGTCTTGCCGCGGCTTCGTCTGCGCTCGCAGTATTTTCAAAGCAGCACAGGCCGCCGACATAACAGCCGATGGAGTCATCACCACACACAAGATGGTCAACACACAAAAGAGAGTCTGGTTTCCCGACAACTGAAGGCATTGCGCGTTCACACGAGGAGATATTTTTGGATGAGGTTATGCCTGGGTGCACGTGTACCCTTGGCCAGGTAACTTGCGCCTCCGCAAATCACAATAACAACAACAACAACGACATCGACGTGTTTGCCCGTTTGTCCAGGTTGGACGACTTGCCTCTCGTCAAGTTAGACTTAAAACTGTGGTTCAGTGGGTCATTTTGTAAGGAAACACGCCAAAGCATACCCGTGGAATTGGAAGACTGAGGTCCCAGAAGGGGTCGAATGTTGTCGATTTGTGGCCACACGACATGCACTCCAGCGTGCTCATCAGTTGACCGAGGAAGATGTCTGCAAGGGGGGGAGGAGATAGGGAGGGATTGGTCAGAGGCACGAGGCGGCTTGAGTGTGCAAACTAAACACAACCCACCTGCAATGAGGCTGTCGTCGATTCGCTTGTACCGATTCCAATAGAGGATGGCCTTCTTCGAGTCACTACAACACAAAAAGGGGATAGCTCACCTCGAAACCACTCTCATGGCTCAAAGCACAAACACACGCTTCGACGATTGCACCCTGTTGATCTGTTGTACGACCTGAAATGTGTTGGAGCTGCGAAAAGAACACGCTTAGGCTTGCAAATCGACAGTTACACCCAATAACCCCCGTAGCATTTAACGCTTACACGCTCTCCACTGAGGAAAGTTGCCGTGCCAACGACACAAAAACTGGCAGATTTGATTGATGCTCGAAGTGAGTTGGCGAAGCTAGATTTTACGGTGGTCTAAGCGAGTCACTAATTAGCAACACAATTAGCCTTAAAAAAGCGGCACTTAGTTGAAAAAAGAAAGGCGAACCCGGACGCGTAAAAAACTAACGCGATCGAATTTCGTCGGGCGCTGGCGCTAGATGCGGGCGCAGGGAGTCGTGCTGATTCATGTCCATTAACCCGGTCGTCGTAAACTCGAAAATCAGCGCGCTTACCTCCTCACCGAGTCGGCGGACTCGTCTACCCACACACCTCCCCCCCGTCTCTCCGCTACTCACCCCAGTCACCTGGCAAAGTACTTTTAAGCGTCCGCCCGGATTGTTTTGGATCAACAAAGCACCCTAGCCCGACGTGGCCTTTAATGCACTTGCCCAAGGTGACGCCGAATTGGACCAAACGTTGGAGGAAAAGGAAGGCAAACACGTGACGTCGGGGCGCGTCAGGAGCTACCGCAATTTTAGCAGGGCCGGAAAAACCCCCACCGGGTGAAATAAGGCGCATCTCTCTTCCTCTCGCGATGCAAGCTTAGCTGTGGCTACCTGCTGTTGAGCCAACGAGAGGCCTCGACCTACCTGATCGCTCATTGGCGGTTCGCGAGAGCCAATGACAAAACCGCATGAGGCTTTTGCTCATTGCCTTGCTCGTTTTGGCCCGCATTTGCGTCAGATTAAATAACAGTGGGAATAATGATAATGATAATAATAATAATGAGGCAAATTGACGCACGGCATTCTATCCTCCTCGTCGTAGTTGGGTATTTCCGAGGGTGGTCGTTTGGTCACTCGATTGACGTCTTCGTGGAGGCCTTGGACGAGGTACCGAAGGAACTCCTGGGCGTCCTGCTGGCTTCAAAGAATCACGAAAATTATAGATAAGGTGACAACAAAGACTGCTGGAAGGACATCGATTTGGGCACGGGAGGCAAGGCCAACCCCCTCCCAAGGGCAGATATAATGAGGCTCATCAATTTAAACCAAGTTAAATTGGCGAACAGCGGCGGAAAAGGAAGCTGGGGCGAGGTGAAGTGCAAATTTGACCAAGTGTCAAATTGGTACAAGTGACTAGCGCCGCTGTGGGCGTGTTGCTACACGCAGCAATTTGCTCACTGCCTGGATTGGAACATTTTGGCCGAGTTTTGGGAGAACGCTGCCTCCCTCCCCCACCCTCCTTCTCCTCCTCCGCCACCTTTCCGTGTTTTTTTCCACTCCTCGCGGAAGAAATGCTAGTGGATTTGGCACGGTGTCAGGCAATTAGGGGCATTTTAAAATTCTTCAAGCTAAGCAAACGCACAAAAGCCTTTCAATGCGATAAAACGTGAGGGAAAGTGAGCACCGAACTCAGGAGCTAACAATTGCTGCGAATTTGCATAGCCTGCACACACACACAAGCCCTTCCCAACGCGCGAATGAGGCATAGGTGCTTATCTTATCATCGCCTACTGCACATCACGAAGTCCAAGTGTGATTGCTGCGTAGGTCACGGGGGAATTACGACCACCCAGGTCCTAGCTAGAGGGACATCTGAGTGGTGAGTGGAGGAGCGCTAGGTGGCAGTGGAAGCGAACACCACTGGTGGAGGGGGGACGGGTGGGTGTTGTGGGGAGATAGAGAGCGAGAGAGAAGCCAGGCGCGCACATGTGACTTACGCGTAGCCCATGAAACGCGGCGCAAACCGCTGGATCTTCGCCCTGAAGTTCTGCGGAGTGACGTAGGAGGGGAAGGCGGAGATGGACGACGAGGAAGACGAGGTGGTGGGAGTGGCGGCGGCGGTGGTGGAATTTGACGGAGTCCACATCTGACGCATGAGATCCGCGTATGCTGTAATTGCACGCAAGTAGTTATCACTCAAAACTCAGAGGTGTAATGATTCAAACACACTGGAACGATAAATTTTAAATTACGGCCAGACTGTTCGAAGATCATATTCTGCTTGTGGACCGCGTGGGTCAATAGGAACCGACAGTGAATATACCAGACTCAATTTCGTTGTTGCCATGACAAGGATGAGTTAGCTGTGGTCTGGCGCCCTGTTTAAACAAGCGCATTTGCCGAACCGCAAAATCTTCTCTAGTCTCTAACGCCCTCTGCGTTTAGTGAAGAAGGAAGAGCAGGCATCATCGAGCATGGGAACGAACAGTGTCGGTGTTTGCGAGAACTTGGTTACCACAACGGGGAGGCGTGCTCAAGAGTGTTTGAGACTACTCATTTGTTGCCAGACACACACAGACACACACAATAAACGGTACCGCCCCAATCGTACAGATCACACTCAATCCCCCAAAATGTTCAGCGACAGTCGGGAGGGCTGAGTTCCACGGTCAGGCAAGTGAGCACATTGATTTATTCCCCAAAACACGACTCTAATTTAACATTTTGGCCGACGACCAACGACCTATAACCAGAGAGTGCCAATTCAAGTGGCGGCTTGTGTCGCCAGGCCGTCTGACCTTTTAGGTAAAATTGACAATTTGAGAACTCGACCTGACCTTGAGGTGGCCAATAGAGAGTGAAATTCAAGGTTAAACGATGTGCGTGCGTAGTGAAACAACTCTACGCGTCAGAATCTCGACTTTGGTGGCTACTTTCGGGTTGGACTTGCAGTTGCAACATAGGCGCACGAAGTCACGTGGCACCGCCAGCTTCAGCAACGTAAGGTCATTATGCGTGCGTGCGTGCGCGCGCGTGTCTGTGGAGATCGACCTTGGGCCTAAAGAAAGCGATTACGAGCACACACAAACATACACCAAGCGCCCCCAACTTACCCACAAAAAGACTGCCCTTCATGGTGCTGTTCACATTCAACTCGGACTGGTATGTGCGGTCCAGGCAGACGCGCAGAAGCTCCCACGTATGGCTCAGACACTGAAGGACCGAGTTCATGAAACACTGAAAGAGACAGGGGGTGCTGTGTGAGGAACGACAGCAGCAGCAGCAGCAGCAACAACAGAAATCAATCCGCGCCGCATCACCTCGCAGCGACACTGTGATTGGTGGGCGCGTCATTTGGCTATTTTTAGAACGGATCGTGCACATCCTGCATTCAATTAATAACCGTGTGCCTGTCGCACGGTTTACAGTTGAGAGAGAAAGTGAAAAAAGTGGCGTGGTGTTGCCACAATTGGCAAATGTTGGCATCATGAAAAGAGGGAGAGTTTGGTTGTAAATCACCCCACAGCGCCTTCACACAACACTCTGGACTCGGGCTACAGCAGAAACTTCCATTTGGTGGAGCCTACAGCGATAGAATTCGGGTTTGCAAGAGAAAACTTACGCTCGAGTGGCGTGCTAGGACAACTAGACAAACAATGGCTTACGGTGTTTCCCAGGTTGCTGAGCCCGACCAAACCGGCGGAGGAGGAAAGCACGTGACCGACGCGGGCGTCGGACGATGTCTGGTCGTACGAGGATGCGACGGAGATGTTGTTGGCGTTAGTTGGAGACGGGCTTCGGTAAAAAGAGGACTGACTCCGTCGCCGACTCTCTGGGGAGTCTTCGCGTGGCCTTGAGTGGCGTTGTTGAGCTAAGAGGATGAGAAAGAGAAGGAGGAAGAAGGTGGTAAGAGAGACAATGAATCGTTCCCCACCAAAAAGTCAATCAATAAACAGCCGTGCTAGTCTAACTCTCCACCTGCCTTTATACAGCTGTAAAAGAGGCCTTCTAACGCATAGAGTGACAAATGACGGTTCCAAAGATCCACTTCACCAAGGTAATCAAGATGATGTTTATGAAGCGAAATTCAAAAATAATTCAAGCTTACCATGGTAGGTAGGCGTTCGAGAGCCTGCTACGGCATCAGAGGGTCCATTGTCGTAGAGGGTTAGATATGAAACGTGTTTGGGAAGGTCGTTGTAAGCGAACTTCTTCGGAGACCAGCTTTGTTGGTCGTGACTGCGGGAATCCCTCGATAACTAGGCAAGTCAACAAAACAGAAGGGTCACAATGCAGGCGGCAGCATTTGGGACACCCAAGAGCTCATGATTGGCTGATTGTGATCTCTGTGTGGACTGACTTTAGTGGTGGCAGAGATTGCTGTTTCTTCCAGTTTGCAGACTTGAGCGGAAGGGTTATTTTATGTGGAGAAATGAGCATGAAGCCCACGTTAACAAGGCACCGCACACACACACACACACAGGAACGTACCCTAGACCCGTAGGTCTCACCTACAGGGAACGAAGACGACGAGAATTTGGTAACCGAACTCGACCGTGGGAGCCATTCTTTCTCATGTCCGTAAGAGGATCGCTCGGCTGCCATTCTGTATCGTGCGGGTCCGTAAGAGCAATTGTTGTGGGAATTCTGTGTAGACAGGAGACGGTCGGTGGAGTAGACGGTGTACAAGGTCTGTGGCTTGGTGGAGGTTCTCACTGGCGTTGATTTGTGAGTAGGTTGGAGGGGGGGTTTGAGCTGGGGGTAGTACAGCTGCTGCCGTGGTAGCGATGGATTGGTGTAGACACTTTGAGAGGTCACGACATTACGCCGGGGCGGTAGAGGAATTGGACGGCGTGGGTCCACAGAGGAGGCTCTCAGACGCCGGCTGGGAACGACAGTAGAATACCCCCCCTTATTCGCATCAATGTTCTGGTATTGACGCGACCGATACAAGGGAGAGGGATTCATTCGCCCGAAACGGCGAAGTAGCTATCTGTGGCAAAACAAGATGTCGCTGAGACCAGAAGATGGCACTAGTTGGTCAGGCAACGCACCGAAGAGCTAACTGTGGCAAAACAAGATGTCGCTGAAACCAGAGGATGGCACTAGTTGGTCAGGCAACGCACCAAAGATTGACCAGTTCTCAGAGATTCTGCATCTGAGAAAAAACTACCTCGGTACAAAAAAGATGCCAGACACAGTAAACGAAAACTGCATCGTTAGAAACTAATATGAAAAGTGCCATGATTAGCAACACCTCAGAAATGTGGACAATCGTAGACAAGGAAAAAAACTGCATTTAAAAGTAAATGGAACTGAAGCGCTGTATTTACCAAAATCCCACGTACCACAATTCGAACCACAACAACAGATGTCTTGGCGATACCGAACCGAACCAGTCGAAAAAAATGTTAAATCTCAGACAGCCTCAAAAGTATCGCAGGATTTTGGGACCACTGTGGCCAATTTAACGCAGCCACTCAAAAGTCAGCAGTTTTCGTTCGAAATAAACCTGAAATTAGCTGGGAGGTGACAGGTACATGTTTCAGCGTCTGTTGAATAATGGGGATATGCTTTACGAAAGCCACCACCAACGCGTCTGGTTAGTCCATTTTGGCGCTGGGCAGATTAAATGGTTACATCATAAATATTTCGGAGACAGTCCAAGTGAAGTTGCAAGAGAATAGGCAGCAGCAAGGTTAAAATAATGTGATTGTTAAACAAGGTTATGCGAGGTATTTGCCACCTGTAATTACCTTTAACTGCTGGTACGTGAAAGGCACGTGATGCACGGAAATCAACGCCAAAAAAGGTTCGAGAAGAAACTCAGAACTTTACTACAAACAAGGATAAAATAGAAGTCACTGACAAATGAATTAGTACCATACAACCGCGACCTCCGGCCAGAGAATACTTCTTGGATTAGATCGGTTGGCCTGAGCCAGGTGTCGATAAACGTGTAGTCAATGGCTGCGGAGCATGGAAACGCAGAAAAAATGTTGATATACAGTATTACAAGGCCTATGACCAAGATATAATCATCTGGAGATTCAATTGGCAATAATTATCAGCGAAAGAACTTTAATAAAGTGTAGATTTGCCACAACAACACCTCCAACAGCGCACCTAGTTTACAGATTTTAATATATTCCAAATAGTTAATTTGGGCAAAGGTCAAGGTTTTGACGTAACTGTCCCAACATATCTAACAACTGACTGCTTCGTGCATGTCTGTTACATAAAGGCAATAGTATGAAAAGTTAATACTGTGGCCATATTTGAAATAATGACACAATATTTCCATAATCATACATGTAAGGTAAATAATGCCACATATCTAGAGAATCGTGGTATGAATTTATTAAAATAAGCCTGCTTATTATAAATTACAAGAAAATATTAATCTACGCTCGTATCAAGAAAATAAGTTTTCAAAAGTCGCCTGAGGATGCAAGACATTAGCAGAGTTTGCTAGTACAGAGAACGAGTTACGACACTAGTGGAAAAAGAAATGACGACTAAGGCAATAGTTTACTTAGGCAAAAAATAAAGCATTCTGCCAGTAAAAGTACGACGGAATTTTTATGGTTCCATAACAGTTGTCGCATAATGCCTAATAGACGCACCAAACAGGAGTGTAGATGTATCCAGGTTATCTTAGAGCACGAATGTCAAAGTAAAAATTTAGCAATAATATAAATGACAGCCACAAATGGGGCAACAAGGGCGCATTGCAAATTGAGAAAATCGTCAAAAAAATGCTTGTGTAAAAGCGTGACCGGGCGAGATGTAGAAAACAAATACGAAATAGGAATAAAAAGTTTTATATAGATCCTTATCATTTGGTACCATATGATATAGATGAGCCAGCAGAGGTGACAGAGGGGAATAGGTTGAAACAAAAACCTGAAACAAGGCTTACTGGACATTGGTCAGAAGGCACTGGCAGTCAAAACATCGCTACTCATAACTATGGAAACGACAAATCAAAACAACGTACACTCAATAACTATATTTTAGCAAATCTGCTTAAAAATACTAAGAGAACAAAATATAAAAGTTATTACGTGTGTGTTTGTTTACGCTGCAAGAAGCGCGCTTCATGAATAAAGTGAAAACATGTTAGGCGTTCCGAGGAAGCCTCCAAGAGTTGTAACTGTTAGAGGTAAGACATTGTGCTTGATCATATTTTTAAATAGTGCACAAGGCCTCTGGATTAAGAAATCCCTATGTGGAATCGAAGAAAAGTTGGTTTTCATTTACCCTAACGAACCATCTTTAGGGCGGAAGGAAAATTACAAATGGAAAGTCAAGATTAAAGGTGGGAAGAAGACAATGGAGTCTTATATAATAACTGACCCTAATGGCAATCCTATATGGGACTTTGAAGCCACTATGTATGTTTGTTCCTTTATCTTACACGAATAGCGAAATCGTTGATGTTTCTCAGCCTGTTGTGATTAAAGTCACAGATTCAGATAATCACCATATTGGCCAGGTCGTAATTCCTTTAATACAAATTGAGGAACGTCCGGCTGGTTTGACTTCAAAGCCTGCAACTGATGCTAACCTAAGAGTTGCTGAGTTGGAACCCACCAAAAAAATCTCCCAGGTGTATGGTTCGATTTACTTTTGGATTTGGGCGGAGTCATTTTATGATGACGGTGCCCCAGAAAAAAGCTCTCGATCTTCTATAATGGGCTCCGAACGATTACATCGTAGTGCTTCAAAACTATCTTCGTAAGTTAAATATGTAATATTTAAACATCTTCCTAAATATGTTTTGATTTTATCAATCTGTCCATTCATTTATCTTGGTTAGTCATCTTCATCGGCATCGGGACAAAGATGACGGTGCTTCTGTAACTGGCAGTACGCTGAGTATGTACTCGACGTCGGGAGAGAAAAAGAAGCATTGGTACAACAAGAATCCCATTAAGCACATTCACGAAAAACACGGAAGTGGTTCTTCGCGTTTGGGAACAAAACAGGGGAGTGAAATTGGCTACAGTATGTCACAGTCAATGGGTTCGTTATTCAACATGGAAAATGGTGAGATTTCACGTACCTTTTTTTGGGGTTTGGATAACTTGGGTTCTATGTTTCTTGGTCGTACGTATTAACCGAATTTCTTGAATCACCTTTTTGGTTTGCATATCATGAAAGTACTGTTTAAATAATTTAGTAACACCCTTAGCTTAATTTTTAGATCGCGCATCACTTGCTGGAAGAGACAGTAATGTTCTTGATGGTCAGTCTGCCAATGGAAGTGAGTTGTACGGAAGTCCTGGCAACAAACACGCGAAAATGCCTCCAGCTCGTAAGTTTTTTAAAGTTATTATGATTGAATTCAAAGTTCCTGTTTATTAATGTGTGACCACGCTAAAATTGCTGATAACACGCCTTTGCATTTTTGCTTCTTTTACACTTAGCGAACTCATTTACACGAGTTGGAAGTAATCGAAGAATGGCACGACCACCCTCTTCTGGAAGTGAACTGAGCAGCAATATGGAAGCACCCAGGAAGCCTAGTGTCCCTTCGGAGCGACCCAAAAAGTCTCCACAACAACAAACGCTAGCTCAGGTTGCGTCTAAAAGAAGTACACCACCTCTCGACTCCTCGGATGAAGGAGAAGAGGTCTCCACGCAGCCGCCTGCCGCCTCCTTATCGCCTCCTTCATCTCAGCCCCCAGATCCGCCTTGTTTGTTGTCACTCTCACCCTCGCGTGGATCGCCTGCTGGTACACCACTCCCATTGCCAAATATCCCAATTTAACGTACTTCCCATCACCTGTCACACTCGACTTTTTTGTGGTCTTTAGCGGAAACCGTGGTTTATATTTACGGAAAGAATCTGAGTGAATCGACGATGCGACACGCTGTTTTACTCGTTGATGACTATACCGTGGCGAGCTACAAGTGGAGTGTGAGTCAGGGCAGTTGGTCTGAAGAACCCGAAGCCACGCACAGGCTGACGCTTCGAATGCCGCCTAAAAAGGATTCCGCGGGCAGCAGCCAGGTGTGGATTGACGTAGAGACCATGGGACATGGGCGCTTGCGGTGCCCTAAGCCGTTTGTCTACGAAGCAGAGCAAAGCCCACCTCCAGGTTTGTTAGTTTCTTTGCCAGCAGTTCGACCTTCCTTTTTCAAACCAGTATTGTGTGCTACCTTCACGCGGTTATAAAGCATTAGTCACTCTTGTTTGCTTAATACACGACTTCAGGCGGTAATTCAGCGAATCAACCAATCGCCACTGACTTCGTTCGCAACTCGAGCATTCGCCTTTCGGACACACGCACGCGGCGCGGTGCTCACAGGCCAACCGAAGGTACGCCTCCATTTCCTGTGTCACCAGTTACCCATCCTCCTGTCTTTTGTTTCTGCATCGGTGCGCCCACGTCGCCAGCACCTAAATCTTCTCAAATTTAATAGCAAATCACTCCCAACGGGCAATTCGTGTTTAATTAACGCAATGAATGTTCCTTGTGTAGCAATTTTACGACCTCGCTGGAGTTAATCTTTGCACTAAAGTACACACGTCGTAGGCGGTTCACTGCTTTATTAATGTGGGTGACTCATAGAGGTGCAAAGACGCTCATAGCCAATAGGCTGCTCGTTAAGCACACTCACATCTGTGCTTTCTTTATGGCCTTGTTCAATCTCTTCTGAGTCGATGGTGCGGTTTCGCGCACTCAGTGTGAGGGCTTAAGGTTGTGTTTAATGTAATTCAAGCTGGACCCCTCAAGTCCACGAGTCCGCCCACCTCGGAGCTTGGTGGCTTCACTCGCAACTCGAGTATCCGCCTCTCGGACACGCGGTCGCGACGCAGCCTTCGCGGCGGCAAGGCGCCTCCACCGCTGCCCTCGTACGGCGAACTGCCCCTCAGCGCTGGCAACCGTTCCTCCGGTCTGGGCTCCGAGGAGTCCTTCAGCGAAGCCACCGCCAACACCGCTGTCGCCTCCGGCGAAGCTAACTTGGCTGGTGAGCCGATACCCCTTCATTTTATTGCGATGGAGTTGAGTTGGGTTCTATCCCAGTCAGTTTTCGTGGGGGTGGGGTGGGGCTGGCGGACTAGGGACTCAAATCTTTATTATGGTGGTGGGGGGGATGCCGTTTCGCCCGACAATGCTTACTCATTTGGTCAGATGGTTAACCCAAAGCAATCACTTTTTAATCCCTAATCGCCGCATCAATAAATTTTCCACGATGTTGGACACAGTGAGTCAGATATCTCAAAATCATTGTTTGCCTGTGCCATTAAGGTTTAAGCAAATGGATCGATCTTAGGCCTGGTTTGGGTCAATTTGAGACAAAGGTCTGTGGCGATTTTGTTTCAAACGTATTCCTTTCATTCCAGCGAGTGAATTCGCTCGACAACTTTAAATTTTGCAATTAGGCAGGCCTGGACGGTGGTGGAAATGTAACAACAAGACTTTCTTCGTCACGCACACACACACACACACACACTGTAGCTCAACCGTGTGCTTGTGTTCGATACTAATGTCAGGCTCCGTTTGCCAAAACTTATCACCAAAAGTTTCGACGCATTGCCTCCTCCGTTGCCCGTAACTTTCATGGTTTCATTAAAGGACACGAAATGGCCGTTGTTCGGATTACTTCGCCCTACAGTTAGTGTGAAGTCTTATGCCTGCCTATCTGTGCTACATCGAAAGTGTGCTGGAGGTGGTATTTATATCTTGCGATTGCCTGTCGTTCTGTGGCTCAATTTGCATTCACTAGCACCGAGGCCTTTCACGTGATTCCTCTCCTCACAGCAGGTAATTCATGTACACGCTCACTTTGCAAGCACGCACCCACGCAAACTGCGCCATGTTGTGTGCAGAGAGGGAGAGAAAGAGAGAGAGAGAGATTACACCCGCGCACAACACATCGACCGTGTTCTCGGTCTGGTTTAACGCCTTAGCCTGTCAGCACCACCTCAATCCGTCCCGATTACCGGCTGATCACGACCCTTTGTGTGAATGGTGTGTGTGTGTGTTCGACACTGAATGAGTAATCGTCGGCGCTCGTAGCATTTGGAACTGTGAATCTGGCAGTTTTGTGCTTCACGCAGACAAGGGTAAAGAATTAGATACGCTGTGTTGATCGGTGTGACCCCCCAGATACTGTCTGCGGCAGTTTATAGAACGGGTGTCTGTGTTGACAGGAGACTTGCATAAAACGCACGCATCGAGATCGACTACTCAAGGAAATCGAAGCAGCTCCGAGCGTTTTAGAAACGTGTCTATTTTCCAATCAATAAATGGGTGTAGCGTTGTACTAAAGTGGTGTCACTCTCACTCAGATGGTAAGATCGTGATGATGAGATGAAGATCATGATAACAACCGATAGTCGCTTCACACACCAGCCTGACTGGAGGTGAGTGTTATGCGCATGCCTGTAACATGGTTGTATTTCTTGTGTTTCAGACGTGCGCATAACCTCAATAGTCGACGCCGAAGTGGTCATTGATAAGTTAAAGAGCGAGATCACTGAGTTGTCGTCTGAGTTGTCGCGCAAGTCAGAGGATGTTGATCGCATCAGCTCGGATCTCTGTCGACTGCGAACGCGCCTACTTGAGGACGGCATGCTTAAGTACCTTGAGAAAACGTGACTGCGCCCCAAGCGCCATTCAGGCTTCCACGGCTGTGCTACTCACTTTGCCTTCCAAATTCCGTCTTTTTTGCCTTGTCCTCTGCGACTTTTTTTGCATTCTGCTTCTATGCGACTTGCTACTTTTAATCGATAAATATCCGCTAATGGTAATTGTGCCACCTTGCTGAACCATTAAGTTGAACCAGTGTGGGCAAGACTTCGTGGATTGTGCAACTACGGCCTCGTGTTCTCGTTGGTGTTGCGAATTCTCCGTTGATCGCAAACAGGGAGACTTCTTGGAATTAAATTTGGGAAACATTTGAGCCATCGGGAACACCAATGGCAGTATTTTTGCACGGTGAAGGATCCACACTCCAAACGGGCAAAGTAGTTTTCCAAACACATGTTCCCGATGGCGGGATTCGTGTCTAAGTCGAAGAAATCTACTCACGCGTCGCCTCCATAACCCACTTAGACGCCCTGTCATTGCACGGTGTTGGTCCTGTGCGTCATTCAACTGAACTCAAGCGTAGTCATTTGCTAATTGCATGTGACTCATTAGACTACTTTTGTCTCGTAGTTCTGAACTGCGTGAGACCGCGTTTTCCTGATTGCATGATTGATGTAATTGGGTTCGTTCCTCGCGTAAGCACGCAACGCCGCCACAGTGAGGTGACTGGCGTGTGTGAGCCCCCTCTCGCAGTCACACGCATATTTCCCACAAAAAAACACACACATGAGAGGATTCGATGACCTTGTGGTAGAGCACAAACCCCACTTTCTGGTGTGCGTTTTTTGTTAATCTTAGGTATCGTCAAACGCGTTTCGTCAGTTCGAAATGTATCGGCGCGTTTTGCATTAAATGATGCTAGCCGTATTGTGCATTGTGCTAAGCTTTATGAGCACGAGTGTGTTTTCATAGCAGCGGCAAGGTGAATTGCCTGCGGAAGTCAACATTTTCTCCCATGTAGTTAGCCCGGTGCCATGGCAACCGCGCCTCACGTGCGTAACTGTGTCAAAATTAAAACAAAATTACAGTATTAGTTGTTGGCGCACTCTTTAAATAACCTCGTTTGAGTACTGAAATTACTCAACGAAAAGTAAACGAATAACCCCATGGCGTTGCTTCTTTCACCGTTGCTTGGAAACAAGAAAAACTGCATCCCCTTTTGTAAAACAACTCACACCCATTTCGTGTTAGGCTGAACTGCATCTCAACTACCTGTACGTCGCAAATGCGTTTCAACTGCAATTGAAGCTCCCGTTTTAGGCTAAAGACTTCTGTTTACCTCGTATTCGGTCCGATGTTATTGCTGGCAGAGATTTTATGCTTCTGCTGTGTCAATAACTCGGTTATTGCCTGGCACTACGCGTGACACCACCCAGGGTTAAGCAACAACAGCAACATTGGAATTGTGGATGCAACTGGCTCAAACACCCACTTTCTCCGTGAAAAGAAATAGATTTTGCCGTCTCAGGCAAAACCTAATGTGACACCACCAATGCTCTCATTTGTTTACGGCTTTGGTGGCCTTGGCAACAAGTAATTTGAGTAATGTGCTTGAATGAGTGCGAACCAATTGGCTGAAGACGGTAGATTTGAATTTGAAAAAAAGATGGAAGACATTTAACAGGCCTGGGTTCTTAGGGAATGCGGTGCCGGTGTGAACGCTTCGATGATACACGTCGTTTTGCCGTAGATGGAAATTATTGTTTAGTTGGCTTCATCAGAGACTGGTCGCATGCGGATGCCGTGAGACCCATGGTTTGAGATCTTAGGGGTGTCAAATGCGCCAACTTTGGAACCCTATTGAGTCACAACCGACTTTTGACAATAAAAGACAGCCTCTCAACCTGTCCCACTCTCTCCAGATACGACGGACGACGCTGTACCTCAAAACGCTCTGGCTTCATTAAACCCGCCTTTCGGTTAGGTTGCAACCAAAGCACTTTCCCACAGCCCTGACTACCATCAATCGCTGTAAACACTTCAGTTGAAGGCCATCGTGCTGCCTAGCAACGAATCGGCGAATGGTGATGCCAGACGCATCAGTTCGTGGCGCGTGTTCCTAATCTCGTCGTAAAGTCCTTAATAAAGAAATGCTACCTAGTGCCATCGAGGTGAGTAAACATGCCGACTGGGTATGTTTGCACAATGACTGTTTGAGTAACACATTTAAAACTTTGAATGGACACATCCTAAGCAGTCTCTCGGCAGTAGGGTTGAGTTTTGGAGTAAAGTCGAGCAACGTTGAAGTCTTCCGTCTTCCACTCTTAGCGCACAGACCTGAAGCGAGCGCTGAGGCGACGAGGAATGCATCGACTGCTGGCTCAGATCGCCCAGTTAACGTGGTTGAACAACCAATCGGTTTAAAGCCTGTCATCAGTGAGGTAACCGCACTGCCAGTGCCTCAGCGACTCAACACAGTCATTGAAGAGGAATCAGTCGGGGTGTCTTCAGATGTTGACGATGATTACGCCTCGCGAGGGACCAACTCCGGGGAGAAGGAACTGCCTCCAGCTCCAGGCGTGTCTGCCGACAGCGATGTGGACGAGGTCCTGGTCATCGCACCGAAGAACTCTCCAAAGCCAGCCATCTTTGAAGCCCAACCCGAGGTCGAAACGTCGAAGCAGCGGTCACCTAGCCCAGTCACTACAACCTCGCGCGAGGAACCCAAGATGGAGGCCGTCTCGAAGGTCCAGACCCTGTCGACATCCGACAACGAGGGAGCGCGCGGACCTCCAGTCCATGGTTTATATACACATGACTCTGAGGTAGCGAAACAGGAACGTCCAGACCCCATCGGCGGCAACAACCTGGCCCACAGTCGGCCCTACGAGGAGAAGGCGCCACCTAAGCACTCCATGGAAGACGTGGAAGAGGATGAAGAAGAAGAAGAGGATGAGAGCAGTGATAGCGGGACCTCTGTTGACAACGAGTCCGACTCTGCCAGAGGCGACAGTCTCTTGCCAACGGTCGAAGAGAACTACTCGGTGCCGCAGTCAAGGCCGCGCATTCTCTGCATTGATCCACAGCGTGGGTCCACCACCGGTAGGTGACCTTGAGGTACACTTGCGAGGTGGTGTTTGGTGAGCGCTGCGTCAACGCGTATTCTGCCCTAGGTGAATACGAAGTCTGCCTGTACGGCGTCGGCCTGGACGAGGAGGTGATGCGTCACGCGCAGGTCCTTATCGACGTCTACACCGTACCACAACAGAACTGGCGCGTCGTGGCTGGGGTCTGGCCCAGCGTGGATCCGCAGGCGACGCACTGTCTGCGCGTTCGTGTCCCCCCGATGCCCGCCGGCGAGGCTTGGTTCGAGGTGGAGACGATGAGTCGGGGACGCCTCCACTGCCCTGAACCCTTCGTCTTCCAGACGGGCTTCTCAGTGAAGCACTCGATGCGTGGAATGGGCGGTGGAGTGAGTAAGGAAAACCAACCTCCAGCCTCCACCACCACCACCGCGCAACATCAGCCCGCACCATCATTCGCCGACTTCAAGTACACACCGCAGACGGACAAGGAGCCCGCTGTGCCGCCCCTGAAGCCCCAGTTGGCGTCTCTGCAGCGCCAAACTCCCGGTATGTGTACTCTCCATGCATTAGCCGCTAAAACACTGCTCCTACTGAAATGGTTTAAGCAGCGCTGGTACTTCGTGTGAACTTTAAGGTACCCACGACAACCTCGATGCTGCGAAGATGGAGATAGCGAGTCTGTACGGCGAAATTTCCCGTCTCAAACTCGAGCTCCAATCGAAGTCTGCGGACGAGGCGCGCGTCGCTCGAGACCTCTGTCTACTGCGAACGCGCCTCCTCGAGGACGGACAGCTCAAGTACCTGGAAAAGTGCTAAGCCAGCGGTTGCAGACTCTCCCTGCCTACGTGATGACTTCCCTTTTCTACCCTCAGATGTACTCTTAACTTATTATTCTGCCATTTTGCCTACCAAACGATTTTGCGCGAAAGAAAACTCCAGTATCACCTTAATCCGTCTTCGCAGTAGTGCACGATTTGATTTAAGGGCGAGCAATTTTCCACATCGTCCTCATTCCAAGGTTATCAACACGTCGAAAAGGACAAACTCCCCCAAATCCCACAGACTATAAGGCGTAGTGTAAGAATCAATACTCACGTGTAATATTGACGACAAATGATCGATTTCTGACATGTATGTATATATGTACACAGACATTGATAGAGGGATGGAAGAGGCATAAGGCAAAGAGCTGGTATCACACACACACACACACAAGCAAGCGACAACATCTAGCGTCAGTACAAAGAAATGAAGGACTGGTTCAGCTATTGCACCTTCGAGTTCCAGTGGCCGCATCGTTCAGGACGGTGGGTGAGGAGCAGTGCCTGAAGGCTCGCTTAGCGGCCGCGATGAGGACAATTACGCACACCCCGATGATATGCGGCACAAACCAGAAACGCGTCCACAGCCTCAACGACGGAAGAAGACCCAGCAGGTGGAAGGGTGCCTGGGCGTACTCCATGACGAAGTGGGTCACCACGACAGTCAGGGCGTCGTACACGAAGCCAACCACCCGCGGTGACTCGGCTGCTAGCACAATCGGCCGCACTGTCCGACGCCAGGCTCTGGCGGTGTGGGTGAAAAGGGCGAAGGAAAGGAACATGAGGTAGTAGCCTGGGTAGAGGCCGTGCCAGAACGCCGACACGAGGAACACGAGGACTGTGCGGACACGCAGCGGTGCTCGGAAGTAGACGACCTCGCGCAGCCACCGCACCGTCCCGATGTTCCAGGCGTCGATGAGCAGCTTCAGATTCGGCGCCGCCTCCACCTGGAGGAAGTCGAAGTTGTGCACGTTCAGCCAGAGGGTCGTGGAGGTGTCGGCGTCGACGCCGGAGTAGCCGTTGCCCGCGCAGATGCCCAACACCTCCGCGAGGCACCAACCGAAGTAGTACTTCAACCGGGCCACGAAGAACGCCGCGAACATGTAGACTGTCTGCTCGAAAATGGGCCATTCCTGGAAGAGTCAGGGAGAGGGAAAACAACAGCCTAATGTCAACTCATACGAGGCTAAACTGGCGGAGTGATTAATCGCTGCTAGGATCGTAAACAGACACCAAATAAACCTGTGGGGCTTTGGTGTCCGAAGAGACGGTAACAGGTGCAGACGCGCGTCCGTAAGCGGCCAGAACCAGGACAGTGGCCGTAAACAAGATGCGTACGACCAGGTGTTGCCACACTACCAGGAGTGTCAATTAGAACATGCGAGAGTGCGATTGCTGGTTTTTTTTCTTTGAAACAGCGAAATCGATCCACGTCGTGTAACCACAGTCGGCAGATAACCTTGATTTGCTCCAACGAAACCAAACTAACGATTCCTTCACTTGACAATATTTAGCAGCCCCCATCCCTCAAGACAGAGCCAGTGGTTTTGGCGGTACACCCAGCATTTTGTTGATCGAGCTAATTTGAAAAACGCGACTTTATTTGTCGTAAAATAGACAGAGGCGTTTGTGAGGGAGATCCGGTGACAATTTGAGCATTCTGTGCGAGAGTTTGAGCCAGCATTTTGTCCGACTCGCTTGGAGGGGGTGGTGGGGAGGGGTGTCAGATGATGTCAGACAGCGCGTTAGCCTCGGTGACTCAGGCCACTCGTCTCCGCACTAAGGTCACAAAATAGGTGGGGGAAGGAGATGATGGTAATCGATGTCGCCTGAAGCCCAAACCGCCGCCACGCCTGTTCCATGTCTTTTTTTTGTGGACAGTTAACAATGGCGCGAAGGCGACTACACGTGATAAAAAGGTGTTTCCATCACACCTTACCACCACCACCGCCGCCTTACGTGACGCCAGCCACGCCGTAGGTGTGCGTGGGTCTGGGTATTTACCTCGCGTAACAACCTTTTAGTCGGGTAAATAAAAACACGACAAACGGCGCGCGAATTGGTGCCCAGAGGGGAACAAGTTTGCTTGAGTGTAATGTGGAGGAGAGGGCGTGGCTAACTTATCGTCGTTGGGGCAAAATCTAGTCTTTTTTGCACACGGAAAACACACACACGATACGCCCACGCAGACGCGTGCAAATCGGCCACCACCACCACCAACACCGCGGAACTGGTTCACCAAACAGGGTCCACTTTGAACCTCGGCCATAAATTGTAGTGGAATTTTAGTGGTTGAGTGCGCTTTCACTTGGGTAGCGTAAAAATGCAACGCGGACACCAGATTAGCGTTACCACGCACGCCAACACGATTGACACGGATTAGTCGATAGATCTGCGCACGAACCATTCAACTACCGCCTGAAAACCGTGGCCGAGCGTCACCTCAACTAATACGTAGCACAAGCCAACAGTGATTGCAGTCGGTTGGCAAGACGGTACCTTCGTCTGTTATCGTTGTTGTTGCGTTTGGCTTCGTTTGACGCTTGGTAGTCGTCACTCTTGACTTACGTCGGCAGTAAACAGCTCGCAATTTTGTTGCCAACACCAAGACAAACACCTCTGACATGCAGAAGGCTGTGCTGATTGTGTTCAGGCGCGGTGAATCATCTCAAACCACATCGACCGATGTTGATTTGCATCGAAAAAGAGCCATTCTGTCAATAGGAGTGTGCATGCTAAGCAGTTCAACAACCAATGTGGGGTTAATCAGCTATATAACTGCCACATCGCCGAGAAATCGAGTTCCATCCGAGACACATGGTTGAAAACTGACGTTAGTGAACTTGCTTGGATGTCAAAAATCTGCCCTCCAAATCGGGCACAACAACAAGCACTAGTCAGACAAACTGCGCAAATCATCGGACAAGTCAGGGTGCCACGTGATTCGAGGTCTCGCCCGAGAAAATGAGCTTTGTTTCATAAAATGGCAAAAAAACTCCGGTCCAAAGGGAGGGGGTGGGAGAGGGCGCAATCTGGCGCAACGGTAAACAGACTTGTTTACGAGGTGGGAGGCAAGAGGGAGGAATTTGTGGCCGGGCGACAACACACAGAAATCGACCGGCAATTCGGTGGGACCACTGATGCAACCACTAACCCGATTGGTTAAGTTTGGTAGAAGCACACTGACCACACAATCACTCTTGAAACCGCCGCGATCACTGCCGAGTACAAGTTTGCAATTAGCACCTGAAGTTTGGTGAGTACCGGTGTGAGTGAAACGCGTATTTTTAGCACATGTCGTGAAGGTGGAAGTGTTTGTCAACATGGGCACGCTCTCCTAGGTGATACACTCAAAAGAGGGCAAAGTAAGTAACGATATAGGGCTTGGGGAACACCAACCACGCCCGGGGCCACTGCGTCGAATTTGATGAAAAAATCTCCGGAGAGGAAGTGGATACAACCGTTTATTAGAAAGCTCAACCAAGTTGCTATCGCTGCGTGGCGTTTTCACGTTTGTTTTGATAGCACAGAAAAAGCGTGAGTCATCCATCGATGGGCTAACAACGCTACCCGGGTTAGTTTTATCAACCAAGGTGATAAACCAACATACACGTCCGCGCTAATCCAGTGTGAGTTGAGGCGTGAACAGAGGGGGGGGAGAGGTATTGTTGAGCGGAACAAGGGGAGGGGCATCACGAGATTAGTGGCCACTTCAGCCGACTGCTATCGCCAAAATCAATGACCGATAAACCGAAGCGGCGTCGGGGTCCTCTGAAGTGCACTGTGGTGAGTCGTGTTGATTCACGTCCATCCCGCAGTCTTCGACTCACTGCTCCCGCCCCCACACCACCACCACCACCTTTACGGAGTACCCGTCAGGCATGGGGGACCGTCAGCTCATCCACCGTCTCCCCCACCCTGACTGTACAGGTTGAAAACACCATTAGTCAGACAGGAGTTTTTTGGAACAAAGGCGAACACCCGCAACTTGGATGAGACATCGACTAGACGGTTGAGTATTTTGGGTACTTGGTGATGTGTCGGTTTATGAGAGCTGAGCCAAAATTGAGGAATGATTGTCAACCTGACGAATTCCACTAATTAATTTCCATAACGTTGCTGTGACAAAATCGACAAATTAGTTATGAATACCAGACAATAAATTAGGCTACCGTCAAGCACTCTGGACAATCGACCAATCGCAGCTCTGGAAACTCAGCTTGGCCTTGACTTTGTTCAAATTGATTGGTTGAGAAGCAATTCGATGCAACTAAGCGCCTAAATTTATGTCACAAACGGCTGCAGGGGGACAGACATTTTGGTGCGATGTCACGCGGTTATCAGGAGCCAAGCGTGACAGCAAACACCCTGGACAACCGACCAATCACAGCTCTGACAACTCAGCTTGACCTTGACTTTGTTCAAATTGATTGGTTGGGAGGCAATTTGGTGCAACTAGGCGTGAAACAAATCTGTGGAATTCGAGGCGATAAAGTCATCATGGAATTTACGCACATAGTCCTAGGCTGTAGAAACTGCTTGCTGCCGGCGGGCAAGTAGCGAATGCCATGTGTTCACACGTCGACCTAGGATGTGGTGTTAGGTTAAGAGATGTAGAGGTGCCAAACATCCGAGTTCTTGAAGTTGTCCCATGCAGTGGAAATAACTCCTTAGGTGACCCCCAACTGAGCTGCTGCAAGCTCTCGTTGCGTTTGCCTTAAGCCTTCATGCGATTCCACATCTTCAAACCTTCCATGCTGCTGTCCGGTGCACGACTGGCCAATAGGATCGTTTGCCACAATAATTACTCGTTTCATAAGACACAACGTCGACACTAAGAACACTTAAAATTGAATCAGTTTCCCCTTGTTTGAATTCGTGTAAAATGTAGTGCCACCGAGTGCGCCGTTCATCAGTTGCCATCGTCGTAACCTCTGCTATTCTGAGAGGTTATGTAACTCACACGCAGTTTTGTCGTTCGGGGTTCTTTGAAAAACCACAAAAACCGAGAAAATGCTTCCGTTTTTAAGCAAAATTTTAAGCAGCAGCATAATGATATCGCCGACTTGCACTCACCTTAAATGTCTTGTGGTTGATGAACTGTACTGGGAGGCGTTTGAATAGGAATGCGTAGGTGAGTCCGTAGGCAGACAGACGCAGGGAGAGGTAGAAGATGCGACGTAGAGGAATCGGCGGCAGACGCCTGTCCTCATACCCTCGCAGGTAATTTTTGTAGTCCTTAAAAAACACAAACGGTCCAATACAGACGCCGTGGAAGTACATGGAGTAAGCAGCGAATTCCAGCGGGTTGGGTAGTCGGGAGACCGCGTATTCGCGGCTAGACGGCATGAGTTTCGGTTCCAGCGCCTCCGCGGCTGGCTTCGTTGAGGTGTCCTTCATGGAACCGTTGTGGTGTTTGCCAGTGGAGAGCCTACTGACTTCGTTGGACGCGCACGTCCTCGAGATGCGCGCACCGTCGTAGAGGTTGAAGGCGAGACTAGAGAGGCGTTGTGTCTGCAGCATCAGCGCGCCCGATATGTCCAGGGTGTAACCCTCGTAGTCGTAGTAGAGTCGACACAAGTGGATGAGCATCAGGTAGAGCATCGACCACACAGTCACGGCAACTGGCGTGACAAGGCGATCGCGGTGGCCTAAGAGTAGTACGACGTAGGCCACGGACGACTGCAACAGGAGCACTCGAAGTTGCATTCCGAAGCAAAAGACGACCACTCCAGCACCGAGGAGAACTTCGGCTAACGCGCGGAACGCCGGACGCACTCGGGAGGGTGGCAGACCGTAGCGCATGGCCAGAGCGACCGGTAGGCTCGCAAAGCTCGCGAACACAAAGTTGACCATGTCAATGGGAATACCGCACCAATCGGTGATTGGCTGGAGGAGGCGCGAACCGCCGTAGAAGCGGTCCTTCACAAAACCCCCAGCGTCATGCTTCAGGGTCACACCCATCACCAGACTGACTAGAATATCGAGAATGCGAATTCGGACTTGATTGGTGCTCTCTGTGGGACTAACTGGATCCTGAGTGACGGGGGATGTCCAATTCAGCGGCAGCACCACTGCGGTGTTAACGGTTGTTGGGAGGAAAGCCATGACGCAGGAAAGAGGGATTAGTGATTGTCGATGCGTGTTAACTCTAGCACGAGCAGTTGGCGAGAGGACTTACTACAAAGACACGCAAAACACTGACACATCAACCCCGGAAAGTCTGTGAACACAGGATCAGACTCAACACAATGTGCTTAGAAAGGAACTGCTGCTTGAATCGCGCAGCAGTAGCCTTTATAAGTTGTTTGTAAGCTATCAACTCACGTCACTGCTTCAAAAGCGCTTACCCGTGTCAACCACTTGACGTCTACTGACACACACCTGTTAACTACGTGCCAACTACGTCACAAGGAAATGCTAACTAGCTAGTAATCTGTCCACTAGCAATCACCGCGAACGTCTTAGTTTGTGTTTGGTTAAACGGCAACGGCCAGGGTTTAACTCATCCCAACCAAGTCCCTAGTGACATTCTAATTTGTGCTGGATGAGTCAGTCACGCCGACAGACAGAAGCAGGATGCATCAAGAGGAAAATGTGAAGGGGTTTATTGGCCACAGAGGTATCTACTAGGTGACACAACGCGTCGACACAGAATAGGTAATATTATTAAGTGGGCATATAGTAGGGCGATGGGAGTAGAACAAGGCGAGTGGGGTCGCACCGTGTCACACTCAGTGCAGGGTGGTGCTGTGGGTGAAGGCTAGCGCGTACGTGATTGTAGGGTTAGCTGTTTGTCTTTGGAAGTGAGTGTTTACGAAAAACCAAACGTGCGTGCTTGCTGCAGCATCTGAGGCATGGGCAGGGTGAGCGGCCTTCATTAATCGATCGGATCCGAGTAGTACATGGCCTTGACCTGCCGCAGTTTATTTAACCAATCCTCGGAGTGACCTGACGGGTCCTCTAGGTAGTAAATCCGATTGGGGACAATAATTGAAAAGATCTTGCTGTTCCTGCATTCCACACGCAAGAAATTGCTCCAAGGAACCTCGCCCTTGGTAACCATGGCCTCCGGGTCTACGTAGAACAGGTGGGGTCCCTCGGTTAGCAGGAAAACCCGTTTTCGAGCAAACAGACCCCGGCGTTTGTACAGGACACCCTGTTTCACAATTAGACGCCCCTTGACGAAACGATGGAAGGCATTTTCGGCTGACTGCTTCTTCAGCAGCTCCTCGCGCTGCAGCTCTGTTATCTGACTAGTGGCTAATGCGAGTTCCTGCGAAAAGAAATACCGCTGGCTGGCAGTGTAACCAACGGGCAACTTGTCCCAGTCGTTGTGTTCGAGCGGTTCCAGATTTGGAATGAGACTGGGCGGCACACTGTTGATTAGACCGTCCCAGTCCACGCCAGCAAAGAACGGATGCGACAGGAGAACATCAGGGCCCCCGGTCGCGGGACTGCCCAGTCGCTCCGACGGTGCGGTAACCAATAAGCGCTTGACCAGGTCTTTCGCCTCCTCATCAAAGCCCTCCGGAAAGGTGTAACTGAGGGAGTTCACCTTCTGGAATACATCAAACTGGTGCCCGAACTTGTCCGGGCGGAAGGGCAGACGACCAGAGAGCATTTGATAGACTACACAGCCTAAAGCCCAGTAGTCCATCAAATACGAGAGATTAGGCGACGATGCGGAGCTGGAGGGATTGGCGCGTGATTTTTCCTTCTTAGTCTGATTTTGGCAATCGTCTTCGGAACCGGAGGAGGAAGACGAGGAGGAGGATGAGGAGGACGAAGTGATCATGAGTGGCGCACAAAACTGAAGCATTTCGGGGCTCACGTATTCAAGGGTGCCGGTAAAGCCGGGTGCCTCGACAGACGAATCGTTGAGGATCACTGCCGATCCGAAGTCGGCGAGTTTTATGTGCATATCGAAAGTGAGGAGGATGTTTTCAGGCTTCACGTCCCTGTGGACAATCGACTGGGAATGCAGGTACCGAAGGGCAAGCAACAGCTCCGAGGCATAGAACTGAGTGCCTTGTTTGTTGAAAGACGTGAGTTTGTGCAGGTAACTTAAGAGATGACCCCGTTGAGCATACTGCAGGACGTAGTAGAGGCGAGAGGTGTCCTGGAAGGTATACATGAGGCGAACTAGAAGGGGGTGATTGGTCCGTTTGAGCACTTCTTTTTCCATGAACACGGCAAGCTTAACCGACTTGTTGATTGTGACCTTTTTCTTGCTGACCACTTTGATGGCAAACTCACGGTGCGTTGCAATCTCCTCGGCCACGTAGACTGTCGAGAAGGAGCCATGACCGATTTCCTTACCGAACTTGAAATCTGATGGCTGTGGGATTCTGGGAGCTGATGACACCGGTTGAGGTGCGGGAGTCTGGGAGGACGCTGAGAGGTTGTCGCCAGTGCTCCCACTACTCTTCGACTGCATAAGACAAATACCGGATTCGACGCCCTAAAATTGCACAAAGATTAGCTAAAAATGATGTGGAATCAAGCAGCCAAGGCATTTAAGACTACGTTCAAGCGATCATAATGAGAACATCTCACGACTCGCATATAAGACTACGCGACTTCCCCTCGTGTCGAATGAACTAATAAACAGTGGTGTGATCACGTACCAACGACATTTATGAGACCATGAATTTCGCATTTTCCAGGACTGAAAAAATCTAAGAACGCAAGTACCAAGACATGATAAGCATGGGTTTCAGACTGAATTAATCCACTAGGCAATCGTAATTAGAAAGGAACTAAGGATTATAGAGTTCGCGCGAAGTTATTAAAATCATCCTTTGACCCTGTGGCGAATTAAGTTCCAAAATTATGACAACGGTTAAAAAGAAATTTTCACATGAAATTACCAACAATGTAGGGGAACTTAAACAGTTTATACATTAAGTATAGGAAGGCAAAGCAGCAAAACAATTTGGAGTCTAACCTCTCAACAGCTCAGAAATTGAAACCAAGCAGTTGTGACCTCAGTGTAAAAGGCGTCTTTAGGATTCTAAATTTTCAAGGCAAAATACGTACCATGGATTCGAATATTAGCATCAACAATTGAACAGTCAGCTAACACATACGTTAAAACGCTTTATTAAGTTAGCTTAGATACACTGGCGCCTTCTCTTAATCTCGCGTCTATTTCGATCATAAAACACGCAAGTAAAACCAACAGTTTATTCTCCATTAACTTATAGAATAGGAATTTCAATCAGTGTAATTAATTTAAAAGAAAGCATTTGGGCTGTTATAGTTCAATGAATTATAAAAAGCCTACTCGTAATTTATTAGCTTTCAATTAAATCCGAGTGATTAAGTAACGTCGGATGACTTAAATTCAAAATAAAAGAAAAATACGGTGGGCATCGTTGTGTCGAAAGAAAAGTTATAACAGAGGAAGCGCACAAAATAATTAAAATTAAAAAAAAACACCTAAAAAATGACCACCATGCCCGTAGAATGAAAAATGAGAAATGAAGGTAACGAAAGAGCAATTTGTGTGTGTGGAAAGGTAATGCAACGAATGCATTCTTATAAACATGTCGATGAATAGATCCAAACCTAACCTAAAAACGACAAAAGCACCAAGCAACTTTGGACGGAAACAAAAACGTGTCACAGATCAACTTTCCTATGTGAAAAACAACTAACATAAGAACCTACTTACTTTTCGTGCAACTTAAAGAATTAGGCTTCCAATTGGCGACTTTGAATGACAAATCTCAAAAAAGACAATTATAACAAAAGTCAAGAGCACTACAAAAATCAAAAAAGGTATAAGCATTATAAAACAAAAAAATAAGTCAAAAATTTTTATTTAAATATATACGTTTTGGAAAATCAGAATAAAAATCATTTGTTAAATTTTGAGAAAGTAGAATACAAAACAAGAAATTCTTTCGACATAAATTCATGACTGATCTACTAAAAAAGAAAAAAATCAAGATTGCCTATGCATGTGTTTAATTTTGAACTTGAATTTTGTCTAAAAAAACTTGAAAATGCCTTCACTAGGCTAGAGTGTATCGTAAGGTCGGCTCAAAATATAATGCTAAAAACTTCTATATTATTTAAATAATCAAAACTTCCATGGTTTATGCCCAAAACAAGATCAAGAATGATTATTTTTTAAAAACACATCTGCTTTGTAAATGTAAATCTATGTGAATTTGAAAAATCGTGGTATTAATTACGCCTAACATGTCGTGATGCGTACAATCATCCAACTCAAAAAATCACGTCTTGATAGCTTGGAAATTAACTTCTGCGAATTCAAGGCTTTAACATTAAGATTTCCTTTTTTTGTTTTTGTGCATACGCCTGCTCATGTTTAAATATACCGTCTCATTCACACCTTTCTTCCTTATGCAAACATTTGCCATGCAGAACCTATTAAAAATTAATTACAAAGTTAGTGGTTTTAATATTTCAACGCTTACTTTGACTGTGGTTTTAACCAAAACGGCACACGTTATTAAACTAGTTTAGGTCAGTAAACTCTGGTAAGCTTTATTTGTGCAAGAAAATCTTTGACATCTGCCAATTTCGGCAAGGTCAATAGTTTCATATTGTGACCTAAACACGATTATTTGGTCTAGTTTGTGTTAAATTCTTACAAAATAAACCACACAATTATATTAAAATTAATCAGGACATTTTGCATTCATAATGTTGTGCATATGTAAGAAACGCCATATTGGGATATTGGGATTTACTTGGCAAATCGACTTAGATACACATTTTTTTGTTCCAACTTCGGTATGCACTAAAATGTGCTCACTTTGTAAATAGTAGTATTTTTTAATTCCTGTCCTAATATTTTTAATTAATGTAACGTATAAATGAATTTGTAATGAAAATTAAGTGCCAAAATATCTGAAAATGACCTCGTTCTATAAATATACATAGTTTTGAGATTTTGACCTATGCTTGCAGCGGTTTTTGATAATTTTCTTTGATAATAAGAAGAAATCATAGTCAACTTTACTTGATTTTTCACCAAAATATAAAATACTCAGGGTCCAAGTCACCATATGAAAAATCCTTTACCCAAAAAATATGCATTTTTAATAAATGTTTGACTTTTTGCAAATTGCATATGTCTTTTTGCATTTCTAAAAATACTTTTAAGTATTATTACTTTGTTTAACCCTTTTCGGGATTTGACTCTTGCGTTGATAAACACGAAGGTCATGCAGATGCGGGTAAATCAAGTTGAAAAGTCTGTTGTCTAGTGATGATCAGTGAGAGGTGCATCGGGTCTTTCGTAACCCGACCCAAGCGTTGTAATTCAGATTTCTCTCTCACAGAGTCGTGGAAATATTTTTATGAAACAGATGGTGATCCGGTTGGCTGGTGAGTCTGTGCGGCTTTTATATGCCTAAATTATTTTAGGGGTGGGGCCGGGAAGGTTTTCCGTATCAAACCTAAATGCCAAAATCCTTTGCACGAACGAAAGTTGAGCGTGCCTTCCAATGCTGTCGACGGTGAAGTGGAACCTGTTTGTGATATTGTTAATGAAATACCGAATGGGAAATCTCTTGCTATCAAAATTATTCGCCGATTCCGTTTTGGGAGGGACTCCATTGAAAAGATTCGTAAAGAAATTGAAATGATCAGGGCTCTGCAACCTTCTCAAGGGGTCGACAAGAATGCATCCGTTCCTAGTGCTGCTGCTCCTCTCCTTTTTTCTGTCCATGAGGATCCGACTCAAGTTGCCATCGTAATGGAGTAGTGAGTTTTTTCTGCATTTATTTGCTTTTTCTACCGCATAACGAAGTAACTTCCTATTCCCGCGTTTATTTGCATAAAATAGGTCTGTTTATTGTCAATCACCATTGCTACTTCTTGTGTTTTATTTGCTTTAGTGCTTCTGGTGGTTCATTATTTGACCTTTGCCGATCCTGTATGCCCGTGAATCCTGCTGTTCCTTTAAGAGATTTTAATCTGAACAATGGACTTTGTTCTCCACATTCGCGTGTCCCAGAACCATATGTCTCCTCGGTTCTTGTGAGAATCGTCGACGCCCTTGCGTACATGCATGACAAGGCTAATATCGTTCATCTTGACATCAAGGCAAGTCAGAAGTTTTAACACTTTTCGGCAAGAATGCTTTACGCAGATTTATCTTCCCAAATCAATCTGTTGCTTTATTCAATATAATTGTGTTCGTTTTTGCTCATATAGATTTTATGTTGTTGATGCTTTTTGCAACAATGTGTTTTTTCATCATTCATGCACAATAGAGCACGGTTTGAAATTGCCTTTGCCTCGATCCTTTTTCTGCACGGTTTCTTATAAGTCATGTTTTTCTGCCATTTTTGTTTTCGAGAGTAGTTCGTACACCTGTATACTTTGCCCTTTTGTATACATTGCTTGATTGGGTAGGTTTCCAAAGAGCATTGTTGCAAGTTCTCTATATGCTTGGCGATTCGTCCTAAGGTATTTTGTGTTTCATCAAGAATGTTATTTTGTCCTCCTTCCGCATAACGTAATTACTAAGTGATTTTAAGAGTACGTTTACTTTCCGGTGGTGGCGGGGATTTTAATAACCAGATCAGGTGTTTAAAACACTGAAGTTTTATGCAAATATCTGATTTGCAAGAACACACTACACCAGAGTTTTCCTGCGTGCGCCGAAACACAAGCGATGTATGGTCGTAATTTACAAATTAAACAGTGGAACGCCCTTTTCTCGCCACGAAGCCTTCCATCTTCTGTGGATGCTTTGAAGTTGGTGAACAAAATGTGTCTGAACAAAATGGCCACCCCTTCCCCCACCTCATCATGAATTTGTTCCCACCCTCTGACCTTCCATTTTTTGCAAACCGTCACTGTCACCGCGGAATGTGTCTGCACACACAAATCCCATTTTCCCGTGAAAAGGCCGCGCCGACTTTACCACCAGCGCAGCCACCTTCACTGCCTTTGATTGGCGATTTCCCGGAAGTGTTGCAGACCACGCATTTAGCCCCGAGGATGGCATGCTGTTCTGTTAACGCGGTAACCTTGCCACGCAACGCGGTGTTTGGCTTCACGAAGAACATTGTTTATGTGCGTCTGAACTTGATGCTTTGAAGAATGTGTTGCTGCTAACTCTGTGACAGTACGCATGTCTGGTTTGAATGTGTCCAATTTCCCCTTCAAATTGTCACTGGCACAGGTCACTGGGTAGCGGCGTGAACTCGGCTCTGATCGCTTCCTCTTGTTTGTCTTACAGGCGGAGAACATTCTCCTACGCGAGCCCTACCCATCGCCAGACGTCTTCATAACCGACTTCGGCTTGGCTTCGGTCCTGAGCAAGTCGAAACCGCACAAGGAACTGGCAGGCACACCCGACTACACTGGTAGGCTTGCCTTGGCGTTGGTGATTGGTCAGAACGCACAACTGTCGCTCCTGCTCAGAGCTACGGCTGTCTTAGTTACTGTGTATTGCACGATGAGTTGACGAGCCGAGTCGCACTGTTACTTTGGCCCGCCACCCCGATATATAATGCAGCTCGTATCATCAGGGCTGTGGTGTTCAGGTCATTTAGCTACTCTAAGAGTACACCAAACGCAATTAGTGCGTCGTGTGTGATTGACTTGCTGTACTATGTGCGAAAAAAACGAGGTTCTTTGTCACCTGAAGCGTCCGCGTTGGCATCGCGTCTTGAGGCCTTTCCACACGTCCACTGGCGCGGCGTGGTTTCTTGGGTGGGTGGGGGGAGGGGAGGAGGAAGTGAGGTCATGTGTTTTCGTGGGGGAGTTTGTGGGGACAACGCCATATCGAATTCCCGCTGCAGATTGTCTCCCAACCCAGCGGGGTGTGTGGTAGGTTTTGGGCTAGTCCATTCGGGTAGTATTGGGGTCGCGCGCGCACACACACACATGTGCACTTTGTTTCTGATAGCGAGTAGCACCGTCAGGCTGTGTGTGTGTGTGTGTGTGTGTGCAATCGTCTGCAAACGCCGCAGTTACATTTGTCGTCGGTAAATCGCAAGTCTTTGTCCCATCCCAAGTCAATTCGAGCCTCCACCGATCGGACATGTCACCATTGTCTGCCGTAGGCTTGTTGGAGACAAACCGTGACCGTTTCCAAACCGTTGACGAGCTTGACGTGATTAGGTGGGGGCAGTGTAGCTCTCACGTTTCTCCCTGTAGCTTTCGTTTTTGCATATAACTATTAGTTCGCGGCTAAATCTCGTGTGCGTTGTCTCGAATCTCGACTTCCGAACAGAAAAGTACACATTCCACACAATTGCTGTTTTCGTTTTGTCAAAAAAATGCGACATAACCCAAGTTACTTACTACCAGAGATGTCCGCGAAAGCCGAAAAACCAGTTTCTATCGTGAACCAGAGTCTTTTCTACCTTAAATTGGTGCCGATTTCTTATTTCGACTGTTAAGGTGTTATCGTGGTTTTCACCACACAGACGACAGCCATGCAAGCATCTGCCACACCTAGCCCCTCCTTCGTCCGTGGTAAAGAGGTTGTGTGGACTGGTATCGGACACGCCCCCCTACCCACTTCCACGGTCGTAGGTCCTTTTTGCTGTTGTGTTCACCGCCTACAGAGGTAACCGATCGAGGGAAATTTGAATTTGCGTCTAAAGCCTGTTTGCAGAGACAGTGGTCGACCACGCCATTAAGCTTCTTTGATCGTCGTAGCAGATCTCGTGACTGGGGCCTTGTGTGTCCTTCCCGGACACCAGTGAATAGCTCGTTTGTGGTGTAGGCCCCTCCTAAGAAGCTGTGTGCCAGTTGCATAACTTGGCACGCATTCAGGTGCCCTAATCGTCGATGATTCATGTTTAACCCACATTCCTTTCCTTCTGCAGGGAAACACATGGCCCGTCGTAAGTGGTATTTCCGTGTTTGACAAAAAAAACGAAAGCCAACTACGAATAGTGTGTTTCGATCAATGCGCTTCAAGCCTGGGTAGTTATGTCATTAGCTCATTGTGCTACCGTCGCGCCAATCCAGTGTTAGTTTCTCAACCGGACCAATCACGCCGTCCAGTGGCCGTTCCTGGGCGAGTTTAGAATACTAGAAATGCCTTTTCGATTTCGATCAGGTGTACTTTTAGCGGCATCACGCACTGCGCCACCCGCAATTGACCTCAACCGTGTCGTCGGGCTTGGGGCGGAGGTTGGCCGGTGTGCAGGTTTCGACGTTGGCATGGCCTCAAGGTCGCGGCCACGATGCCGGGCTGTGTTGACCAATGGGTGCATGCTCAAACGTGCCCGCTCAACCAATGGAAACGCCGAACCAAAGACGTGTCAGGGCCACGAGTCGGCACCCATATACTCCTGCCGTGTCTCCTTAAAGTCCATTTCACCACGACCCCACGACCTCGCCAAGGCTATGATTTTTGCACTTTTGGCTCCCCAACGGTGTGTCGCGGGCCGGTTTTATTGCGTCGCCACCAGACTCGACAATTACGCCCGCCCGCCTGCCCTGTCCCGCGGCCTTAGTCTCTAATGCCGACGTTGTGTTGGTGCGCGTAGCTTGACTTCTCACCGGTGATTGGCTAAGTGGGAGAATGTACCGCACCGCCATGGGTTCTTCGTTAAGACGTCCACCCACGGTCGTGTTTATGCAATTCCTTGTCATCCCTCAGGGTCCCACAAATCACCATGCCCACCAGTGTTTTTCCCTACTGTCTGTGTCTGGAGTTATTTTTAAACCGCCACGTTCATTGCACAGTCGTCTGGCGGCATTTTAGTCAATTAGTCGCCCTTTAGAATCTGCTCCATTGTTGATGGTTTTTATGTACACGAGCGGTGTGTGTGCGTTTGCGACTCATCATCAATCAGCTGCTCAGACGAATGTCTTACTCAACGTACTCATCCCCTTTTTTTTCAGCCCCAGAAGTAATCAGCTACGACCCGGTCACCTTCGCTACGGACATGTGGTACGTGTCGCCCTTTTTAGCACATCTTATTATCAACACACACGCACATTCTTGTCCCGGATTGGTCGCCTTGAGTAGCTGTGTGGTTTTTTTTTGGGGGGGGGGAGGGGGGAGGGCTGGAAATTCTCACGGTTCACTGCGTGCGTTTGGAGACCCTCTCTCTCTCTCTCTCTCGCGAGACGGCGCTTCGTGGTCATGACGACCGAACGAACGCAATCCAGGACACACACACACACACGTCTATATGCGAATGTGTGCAAAATGACGCTTCTCTCTTTGCGCTTTTTGTGTAAAACTTGGCCTTACTCACTTGCTTAATTAATCAACGACACTCTCAACCCGTCTTCTTGGGTGTTTTACGGCTTAATCTCAACTAACTGCCTCACCAGTGGAGCCGAGGTCGATTGGTCCAAGGGCGAAAGTGTGCCGACCAGTTTTCCCGCCAAGTCGATTACAAATCAATTCGCTATGTGGCGGACGTCTACACTCGCTCTTGTCGCTGTGTCTCGGCCAAGTTCGCGGTGGTTTGTTTACATGGCTTCGTGTGACCACCTGTGCGGCTTATAGAGGGCTTTCACTGGTGTTTCCGTAGACACCTCTGCTGTCCTCGGCTGCTTGTTTGGTGTTAAATTTGACTCGCAGTACAAATTCTGGGTGTCGGATGTGTAATGCTTGGCCGAAAACTGGTTTGGATCGGCGTCCGTGGTTCTAATTTCCGACCGTCGACCTTCTGATGTGGATGAACACCAAACCAGATGCCTACTTCAATCAAAATTGTGGTCGTACAACTGGCGCGAGTCAATTTATCACATGCAACCGCACTCACACACACACAGTGAAGTTCGCTTAAATTGTTCTGGACTCCTTTAGAACTTTTGATATTTGTGCTCCGCATGAATTCAAATAACTTCACTTAGCGTTACTTGCGGAGTGCGCCTTAAACACAATTCAAATCGTCCGTGGTGATGCAAACTGGAACATCAATCGAACACACGGTCGTTGTGAATCGCATCGATAATGCGTCATGTTGTCAACGCTGGGAGATCGGACAATTCCAGGCTGATTGGGGACTAGAATTGGCATCGTGTTCCATCTGAGATGACCCCACACCTCGCTCACGTCTCTGTGGCGAATTGTCGAAAGTCTATGGAAACGCGATGTCGCATCTACCACCTTGCCGATAATGCAGTGGGTTCCGTTTTTTGTCGACCTAATTAGGACTTGCTCGTTGTTCTCACCAAAAAGTAGGTCCCTAGCTCTCATTAACAAACCGGAATTACTCATTTCTATCTAGTCATTGTTGTTTAAACGATAAAATTACGCGTGCACCTCACGCCGCCGCCTTCACTGCTACTTTTGTACTTCTCACGCAAGCTGATTGGCCAACAAGCCCTGCATTCTTCCATCTCGTGACGTCTGTCACGCCTTCGCTTTGGCGTTCGTTTGAGGGATCTAGCAACGCTCCAGTCGTGTGTCATGGCAGGGTGATAACCGATTCTTGCCCCTTCCTCCTCCTCCTCCATCCGTCCGACTGCCGCTTATCCACATGCGTGGCGGACTTGGCTACGAGTTGGCGCAGAATCTGACTTCGCGTCACACGCGCCGCGCGCGTTAATCAAGGCAATGAGTCATCCAGTCTCACTCAGCCGCCCCCCCACCCCCACTTTGACCTCACTCATCTCCCACTTCTCCAAGCGATAGCTACTAAATCAAGTGAAACTGAACACCGCTCGGCGTGATCACGGGCGTCCTCTGACGCCATGTTGGATTCTGGGACAGTGACTGGATAAGGTCAAGGTCACGTGCGCTGAACCCGAGTCACGGCCGACCTTGGTCCTAACGGGGCTGGATCCTAGCCCACTGTCCGACCGAATGAAGTGGTGTCCATTATCCGACGACCAGATCTACAAAACTCAGCTTCAACGTAGGCAGCTCGCCAACACCAGTCGCCTGCCTCGAGTTGGCTTCCTTGCAACCTCAATTCGATTCGGTGAAGCTCATCCAAACCTCGACGACTCCCACAGGACCCCTTGTCCACGCCGGAGTTTTCAGCCATGGGAGTTGCGTTTCGGTCAGTCGGAAGTGGCCACAAAAGACTGCGGAAGCTGTAGAGCTTGTTCATTCTGGCAGGGTGTGGTTTGAGGGAAAATGGTGGTTGATAGGGTGCCACTGTAGCATAATTTGAGTCACATTTCTGTGTGCGTTTTTTCCCTTAAAACCCCAATCTTGTTGTCAACGCTCACGTTGGC